TGGATATGTGATCAAAGATTTGTTCAAAACTTTTGGACAGTATTCCCGAAACGGTATATGTTTTACCGGTTCCCGTCTGACCGTAAGCGAAGATTGTACCTAAAAATGGGATTAAACAATGTATTTGCAACTTAATGCAGTCACAAACCATACCAACCATTGTATCCCTGAAGTACACAATCGATGATATGTTTAGCCGAATGTGTGAACACATCTGTTTGTGTCGAATCGATGCCGAATATTCGGTCAAATGTGAACTGTCGGGCGGAAACTCGAATGGTTTGTCCGTCGCTATCCGTCTATTCGTATATTAATTACCATATATTTAATATAATATGCATATTAACACAAATTGTATAAATAGTTATTGATTCAACATTTATAGAATTGCATTGCAAGACATGTTTGAGTGTCACCATTACCTCAACACAGATGTCTTGGTTTAACTCGAGGTCTGGCAATAGTGGTCGGCATCGGATCACAACCCGGACATTGTCTTCGGCGGACATCGTCTCAAATTCTGCAAAAGTGTTGCACAAAAGGTAGGCTTCACTGCGAGTCTTATTCTGGGAGTTTATTGCTTGCGTTGATTATATACTGCAGAGTAAAGTATAAAAAGTTGGCTTTAATCCAAAGAGTAGTTTTATTTTTAATTAAATGATTGATTGATTAAATGAAGAGTCAAATCGTAAAAAAACTTAACCCGGTATTCATTGCAAACTACTTTCTAAACGCTATATGTTGTGCAAAATAATGGTTTGGTAACCAATGGCAACACATCATATATTTTTGGCTCCCATTCAATAGCCCTTAAATACTATTCATTCACTCGTAGAAAAAAATCAATATTTTATTAAAAATTAAAATTTATTTGCAATACTTTATACATTTTTTACAATTAAAATAAATTACAATCAAATACTGTTTGAATACTTTTTAAGATTTAATAGTTTAATATTTTTGTCTAAATCGTTGGTCTGCTTATGATTGTAGAAAATATCAAATGCTTTGATCTGATGCTCCAGAGTATCCACTTTAGCCTCCAATTCGCTCTTTTGTCGCAACGCTTCCGACAACTCTTTGCTCA